CCCCCCCCCCCGTCTTCAGACAGCCAGTTGTCCCTCTGGCAGTCGAGTGGTCCTTGATGCCGTAATGGTCGGAGACCCTCAAGAGTCAGAAGGTAGTGATAAACGTGGCTGCTGGCTATCTCTCATTTCCACAGAGGGCCAGATAACATCCTGAGAACATTCCCATCACTGGAGAAGTTTGTTCTGAGGAGATAAGACTCCCCCTGCTAAAACTCAAAAAAAAAATTTTAAATAAATAAAAGGAGGGAAAAAAAATCGGTGTGTTTGTGAGGCTTTGCGATGAACGTGTGTGTATGTGTTTGAATAGAATATTTCGAGGCGTTGCAGCTGTGAGGTCCACCGGCTTGGCTTTGAGCAGTTACTGAGGAGGAGACGGCCTCAGAAGGCCAGACCTTCCCCGGCACCGCATCACATTCATCCATGCATTTTTTAAAAACAAACTTATATACAGTTTGAATGCTAATTTGTGTGTAGGTGGTGAGAACAATCACATTAGACGAGTTGCAAACAAAAAACCTAAAAGGCATCGGTCTGCTCAAGGATCCCACAGGGGAGACAGGAGGACAGTAGTTTATACATGCACAGATGAATTAATAATTCATTGTTTGTTTCGAAGGAAACCGCATTGAATTTGTAATAATTTCAGCTACCAAACAGCAAATTAAAATCAAATGAAAAGCTTTATGAATGACACGACTGATAAATGCTTTTATGGAGAACTACACTTTGTGTTTATTTTAAGAACAGTGAATACCTTTCAGATCTAAAAAAAAATATTTGCAGCTCTTTCCGTTCACCTTCGTTTTATACCCAATAAACATAATAAAAAAATTACAATTACAATTCTAACAAGAAATAAAGAAATTGTGCTGTATTAATGGTTTCTTCTTAGATCAATAAGTAAAAAATAAAATAGTGAAAATCTACAAATATGATATTTCACTGCCGAAAACCCCATTTTTACAGCTTGGACAGTTGACTACCATCATGTGAGCAATTTGTACTTTAGAGACTCATCAATTGTATGCTAAATTTAATCTTATTAGGTAACAAGCGTACATCAACTCTCTCTCTCTCTCTCTCTCTCTCTCTCTCTCACACACACACACACACACACACACACACA